ACCCGCCTCGGCCTCCCGGAGTGCTAGGATTACAGGCGTGAACCACCGCGCCCGGCCAGTGAAAACATTTTTCTAATTCCCCTTTCCCTTTGATTGAGGGAGCTGCCCTTCCAGGGTCTCTCCTTTATGCAGGGATCAGTTACATTTCCCCATCTCAGCGTGGCCCAACGCTATCTCCCCTGTCCTTGTGAGCATTAAAACCATAATCTCAAGAGCTTGTAGCTGACTAAACCCCTTCAGGGTTGCTACGGCTTCGCCTTATGAGCTTACTACTCTGTCTTCATGTTGCTTGAACCCCAGAAGGTTTATATTTCAAAGGAAAATTCAAGAAGAAAACTGAATGAAACTCAAAGCTGGTATCTAAGCACTCTAAAAGATTCAACATTTTCGAGATCAAGAGGCTCTTGTGGACCAGATAAAGTTGTTCTCAGTTCCTCTAAGATGCTGCTACATTTATCATAGATATGTGCTAACAGAGGGAGGCATTTAAATCCAAATAGCCTAGCTACTTGTGGTGCAGAGCATTCAAAGATAATCTCCACATAAATCTCCTCTGAAATCTATTCTTATACAAATGACATTCAAATTTTGCTATAAAAGTCATACAGAAAAAAATTATAAATAAGAAGTTAAGAGAAAAGTTTCTGAATGCTTGAGTAAAAGAATATCTTTCTATGGCAATGCATGACTTTTGTTCTTAAAAACAAAATAAAATTTCTCTCCACAAAGACTTATTTCAAACCCTATTCCATGACCAACTCTAACATAAGGAAGAAAGAGGTGCTGTTTCGCAAGTGAAAAATTGGCAAGATATCAACTTCTACCACCCAAGTGAGGTAAAACTCTGACCTGCAGGTTATTCAGAGGTTCCATCTTCATGACGGGGCCCAAAGTGTTGAGAGGAAGGGAGACATCAATGCTCTGGTTTGGCATCAGTGGTGTATGGATGGCCAGAGGAGTGCTGGGGATGACACCAAAGCTAGGAGAGAGGACAAATAAATCACAGAGGTTAATCAAGAAGCAGGATTTAGCCACATTGTTGGGTCTGAATGGATTTTTACTCCATTTGAAGAAAACAAAACTTTTAATGCAATTAAGTGGAAGGAATAGCAGGAACCAAGGTGCTCAATTCCAACTTGCCATAATATTGGTTATATCATAACCTCTGTTTTCCACTAAATGGATTTGAGGAAGGAGAAAACTTTCACAAGTACAGAATTGCTTTGCTAGTGTTATAATTCTGAAAGTTTATTCTCTTTATCATGTTGCTTGAGGGACAGGTTTGATCAGTATCTTTTTTAAAATAAATCTTTCCTTAATTTTTGGTAGAAAGGAGATTTAAGAATTTCCACTCTATAAAGAGAAAAGTACAATAAATTGTTATTATTTCACTAGCTTAATAAACCTGCCTGATCAAGTCCAGAGGATTATTTACTGGTAACTCTCACTTTCTTTTTCTTTTTTTTTCGTTCACTTACATAGGATGCAATTAATCACCAGGAAAGAGCTAGTCTAAATAAAGCAGAATTGACTGGCTTATATATTCCAAACAACTCGGATAAGTTGTAGACCTAAACATGGCCACTTTCTAAGTCAATGGCAGGCAGTGAGTACCTACCAGTTTGACTTCTCAAAGAAAGCCTGTTTAATAATAATACAAGGATGGTACAAAGATAAAAAAACAAAAAACAAAAAACCCAACTCAGCCCAGGTCTGCAGTAATATAAAAAACAAAAACATGAGCAAGAGGGTAGACGGTAAGAGAAACATAAGAATAAAACTTTGTAAGTATGGAGTAGAAAGAGAAAAGTGGGCCTAGAAGTATAACAAACAAAATGATACAAATTTATATTTACATTCTAAAAAGCCTCAAGAAGAAAGATGGGACTATGATACTTATAAAACAGCTAAAGAGTTTACATAGATAGTATCTCTTTCAAGAGTCAGATGGCTAAAGAAACATTTTCCTTTTCCTAGATAAACTATACCTTAGAGTACCAAAATGTAATAATGAAATGATTCTGAGAATTCACATCATTCATTTAGGGGTAAAAACTCATAGGTCAAAAAAACATTTTGCTTTTTTTTTTTTTTTTTTTTGA